ATGAGCACATTCATCGGAGGAAATCCGGCAACTGTCGAACGTCGATACGGCGTTCTTCCTTAGCGCGGCTCCGGAAAAGCGTCCGGGAATAATTTCGGCGACGGAATGGGGCGGGTTTTCCGGGCCGTCTAATTCGGGCGGCGGGCGGGAAGCCGGGATTTATTAAGGGAACTAACCTCAATCGAGCGATCAGAGCTAATAATGTGGAGTGCGGTTGATCAATTGAAAGGGAGCATTGTCGGGTGCCGGGTCTCGAGCGGCTCGGCGCGGCGGGACAAAAGCTCAGTGATCAATCAGGGCGGCGGGGGAGGGGGCAAGAAAGCGAGCTGCGGGACGAATCGCGAGCGGTTCATTGGTGTCGTCACCGCGTTTCGGGATTCCGGCGTTCTGGTCGGGCGGGCCGCGGGTGTTTTCCCGTTTTGCAGGGTCGCTTCCAGCGATTTCCAGCCACCCGCTTGACGAGCGGGCGTTCGAGCGTTGGCTCTGCGGTCTCGCTTCTTCCGCGAGCCGCCCTGCGTTGCCGAACAGTGGCGTGGCGTGAATGATCGATTATCGATATTCCCCCATCTGAAGGTATGCTGAAAAATCGATTAGTTAGGTGTTCGTTGCGAACACCCTGTATATCGATCTTATTACATAGGTTCAAGTGGCAGATCAATCGATATATCGCAAAGGACGCCACGCCACTGTTGCCGAATCTGGAGGGTGGCCACGCTCAGGGACTACCGGGAAATGTCAAGGAAAAGGACGGAAACGTCAGGGAAAATTGGATGAGCACCTTCGACGTTTCGAACAACTAATTTTGCTCAAAAACTATTTCTAATTATGTCTTATTGGCCATCTGGCATGTCCTCAATTCCGTATCTGAAGGGGAACCACCGGCAGGGCGAACCTGGAATCTCGGGAAATGACGAAAATGTCAGGGGGAAATGGATATGCACCTTTATTTGTTTTGTAGAACGGGTTTGTCGTTTCGAACAACAAATTTCGCCCAAAAACTATTTCCAATAATGTCTTATTGACCATCTGGCAATTCTGGCATGTCCTCAATTCCGTATCTGAAGGGGAACTACCGGCATGGCGAACCTGGAAATGTCACGGATAATGACGAAAATGTCAGGGAAACAGAAATAGGCTCATTTTTTTGTTTTCCAGAACGAGTTGGAAGTTTCGAACAACTTTTGCTCAAAAACTGTTTTTAATCATGTCTTATTGATCATCTGGCATATCTTCAGATGGACGTATTTCTACCCAACAAAACTATGTGCATTAAGAAACGAGCCCTGAGACCCATGAGAATACATGCATAACACGGCTTATGTCGTAATTCGCGTAGTTCCGTTCGGCAGAAACTCTTCCAGTTGTCAGAGAAATGTTAGGGGATCTCATTTTCTAAATTTGGTTGCAACCTTGTAGCCCATGGCAGGGATCATCCGGGAATCCGGGAGAAGTCGGGGGTAATGCATCAGAGATGACCGCTCCACATGACGAAATTCTACTTTTGGTTTTTACCCGCTCTATCCTGCCAGGAACTAGAGGATTTCTTCAATAGTCAGATCAGAGAATTTCTCTTTCTCAATTCGGTTGCAACCCCGTAGCCCATGGCAGGGATCATTCAGGAATCCGGGTGCATCGTTATCGCAACAATTGCATTAGCGTCAACTTTCAAATGCAATAAATACTTTTATGGGTCAATTAAAATACTAAGCAATTAAATCATTCGCCACTTAGTCTCTTGTTTCAACGCACACGAACTGCTCTTCTGGTGCATCCAACTCTCCTTTCTCCTCTGAAAAATTGGAATCCACTTTCACGATGTGGGGTTCCACTTTAATTATGTGAGGTCGCACTTCGTGGGATTTTCTCGACCACAGAAGCGTTGCCACCGACTGCAACGATTTACTGACGAAGAGAAAGTGCTCTAAGGAGTTTCGAAACCCACTGTGCGTCGTTACGCGGAAAAGTCCGTGGGTACAGAGACGGACGACCCGGTGGCTGTTTTCAGGTTTGTGGTTGGTATACACCGAACGCGACACCCAACGAAACACCCCCTCCCCCTCCCTTCTTTATCCCCTCGTCGCGGTGTCCATTGTCAGGGAGAGCTGAACCCTGCCGCTCGTTCACGATTGTGCCATCATCGTTTGGATAGAGGTGTGCAATTTTGGAAAATGTTCCAATTCCGATCGCTGACATGCTTAAAAAAAAATTCTTTAAAATCTAGGGGAAATTCATCGAAAGCTTCGAGGCGTTATGCTCTTGAGTTCTCTGTTTGAAAAGAAAAATAGAGAGGAAGCTACGTAGCTCGAAATGAAGTTGGACTGATGCTGGTGAAATCCGTTCAGTTGGATTGCATTTTGCGATTGGGAACTACAATTTCCGGCGTATCAAAATGTAATCTAGTTGATGTTCACCATGAGAAAAAGCTGAGACCTATAAACCAATTAGTGGTTCATATAGAACATTACTATCAGTAATTAATGCATCACATACTAACAGCACATCTTGGCGTTCTGTTACGGGAGGATGAATCACTAGGGGAAAAGGAATTTATTTCAGAAAACGAAGCGTTGCCAGTAGAAAACAATTTTTCTCCGTCGAATAATACGCTGCCTACCGAAGTTCGCGCCCGGACGTTACAAAGCTCCGCGAATTTGGTGCCCGGCATGGATTATTCCAACGGAAGAACCGTGGTCCAGTGATGGTACGAGATACCTTATCATGGTTCACCGATGCAGAATCATTTATGCACTCACGACTATTAGTGGTTCCATATGAATCACTAATTGGTTTATAAAACCATAGATTTTTCTCCGTGTGAGCTTCATCTACATATTTAACGCATTCAACATGAAAGTTCGACAAGAACAAGTTCTACAGTACTCTGGGACGCTCAACTTCTTACTTCGTTCGGTGGTTCTTATTTAAAGGCCCCGTATTTTGAGAATATGCATGAAGGAAGGGTCAGGTTTCTGAAATTTTTCTTCTTTGAATACTTCAACAATCTACTTCATCAAACCTTATTTTCTAAGATATTGGGTGTCAAAATGGAGCATTCGCAACTAAATGGAAGGTATCCGGTTCCCTGCTGAAATTACTATCGGCTTAGGAACGAAAATTCGTACCCCCGTGCACTCATGCATTCTGTTTCTTTGCAGTAGTGAAAGTTTGCGTATGCAACCCACAATGCGTTTCACTTCTGCGAATCCTCTGGTTTTCGCACAGCCGGACAGAATGTTGCAACTTACTCGTGCTTTGCGATGAATCGATTAATTATGATCAATGGATCACTAGACAAGGTACGAATTTA